TGTATTCTATGCAGTTGGATGTATCAGGAATGGGTGTTGTTGCCAACAGCTTGAACAATAACCTGGCATAACATCATGCATCTGCTGGACTAGCTGAAATCCAAGTGACACAAAGGAAACTAGGCTGAAGTATGGGGCTTGCTATACAAAAATAAATTCTGTTGAAGGAAAACAAAAGGAAACATTAAGACCTTCAGAACAGCCAGTTTTTCTATGGGGACAGGGTAAAAACCTCAACTTATTAGTCAAAAGAATTTTTCCCCTGGCAGGAAGGAAATGGCCTGCTGTGTTGTGTGAGGCATACAATGGGCTGAGTGGGAAAAGCATGGGATCTTTGTCATGAGTTACACTAACCAACCTCAATCAAATTAGGAAACCACAAATGAGAGGAATTAACTTATAAGTGAGAGGGTCATCCCTTTATATAAAGGAATGATCTCCTATGCTAAGTAAGGTCTTGATTTGGAAGACTCATTCAAACAGAAAGTACAGCCTGCCCTGTGGGTACTGTTTCAATTGAGTGATTTAAATGCACTCATGGAAGTACAATGTCATAACTTTCCCTCTAGACAAACAGGTTCTTTATGCCACTGTTTCAGTCAAGAAATTCAAATAATACCTTTTTTATTGCAGTATTTTTAGACATTGGATACATCTGGAAAAATATTCAAGTAGATAATTAGATTGCATTAGCAATGTGTCTGTTGTGGTTTCCTTGATCCCAGAGAAGGCAGCCCTTTATGAAGCACTTGGCCACAGTATCCACGAAATCTGTGTAAATTGGCCCACACTAAAGCATGTGGAAAACATTTTTTGGCTGAAACTCGAAACCATTCATGTGGCTTTGAGACTGGGAAGCTTGGGCTGCCAACATCAATAGAACTTTGTACTACAAACCCAAATGGTCATTTAGACATGTGTACTTCTCTGCTCACAAATGCACTGAAGTCAAATATTTTTTAATCTTGGGAATTTTTCCTCTTTATACAGCCTCATATTTCATCAGGAAATGAGACTGAGTACAACAAACACAAATCATTGAGACTGACAGAGCATATTGGGTTCAAAACCCAAGCCTTGACTCTAATTGCTCTCCAAAGGCCCCTGGCTCAAGGTAACTGTTGATTTAGTTCAGCTGTTTTCAATCAGCACCGTAAGGTCTCACTAAGACAAACTGGTGAGACCGAGTTACATTTGTACCCGGGGATCCCTTGAGTATAAGTATAACACAGTTAGCATTTTAAAAATTGCATTTGTCTGTAGGCTGCAGGCAGTAATTACAAGCAGGCAAATCTTTTGTTAAAGATGGTGTGACCTTCCTTCTGGTGAAAGAGTGATGATGGCTTCTAGAGGAGGAAAAATAATGTTTCCATTCAGAGTTCAGAGAGGAGGCCCGCCTCTTTTCAAATGGTTGCCAGACTTGACAGCCAGTTTGTTGTTACATTTTGGTGAATATCAGAATAACTTATTGCTTGAGGGAGCCAATTTCTTGGTATTACTTAACTGTTGAAGGATTTTAGAAAGCACACTATTCTGAACTCCCAGAGAAGTGATTGCTACCTCCTTAGTTTTTCTATGCAGGCTACAAGTCATAGTAAAAAGTTAAAAGATCTGAATATGTATATTTCTGCTTGGAATAATGTTCTGAATCTGTTGACTTTAAAGTTGTAGAGTGGACTTTAAAATGAATATGTTGGATTATCTGGATATGGGCTTGAATTTGCATATAGGAATCAAATGTAAATACCTGGTCTAGACTAACAGGCTGAGATTAAGGACAGACTATATGCTAATAGTACCCAGGATAGCTCAGTTCCATATGCAGTTATCAGCTTCCCAAGGACAGACAGGCTGCTCAGAGACCAAATAATTTTTGTTTAAATAGTTTCTTGTTACAATTTCATACCTTCATTCTGTCTGCACACACACACACACACACACACACACACACACACGGATTCTCCAACACCTGGAAAAGTGTTAGGGATATGTTAGGTGCTAAATAAATACTTGCAACAGACTGACTTTGATAGAACAAATGTGATATAGATATTTACACACACACACACATATAATATGTAATATATATGGTACATATATAAAATATGGTACCTTGCTTTGAGAAGGCTAAACATATACTCCTATTTTGTAAATCATATGAATTGTCCAAAGAGTCTTAACTTTTCAAAAAAAGCTATTCAATTAAATATTGTCTCATCCAGTTAATTAAAACCAATTCGAAAATTCATGTTACATTCAATTTTTCTAGACTATTCTTGGGAGAAAAAAGCATTTGTGTGTATCTTTAGACATATGAGTACATGTGTTTATGCCTATGATAATGTGTAAATTTATTTATCTAGGGGCATTTTATACAAATGATTCCTCTAAGTGCATGTATGTATGTAGTTATGTGAATACATCTATATATAGATGGACACTCCTACACATACGTGCATGCATTGGAATCTGTTAAGAATCTGTTGTTGACTTTGAAGTTGCACACTTTCCAACAGTTACTTTCTATTATAAGTTATATTCTATGGCTATCAAGTTTTAACAGAATTCTTTTACTCAATGAAACAAATACTCCCTGTAGTTAAGCATGCTTTTGTTATAAGCAGTTGAAACTTCTTAGGAAGTTACATTTAAATCCTATAACCATAAGAGTAATAAATACCAATTTCAATTAAATTAACTTGTCCAAAAACATTTCTAGCAATTTCCAAATATACATAAACCAGGATGAATATTGCACATTGAGAGAAGCTGGCACATTGAAATATATTTATATACACCTTTTTTAGGTAAGAAATCATAATAACCCTTCATGTATGATGACTTGAACAATGTCAGTGTTGGATTCCAAAAAGTAAACTGGCTGGAAATCACATAAGTAACTTGGCTCTAAAAGAAAGTTCCTGAAAGGAGTGGTTGCTATGTAAATTGCAGAAACCATTATCATTTTCTCTAATGAATCCAAAATGTCTGAGGGTGACTGTAGAACTCTTACCTACACTGCTTTCAGGAGCAGCAATTATGGAAAGCACATCTGAAAACATTCTTTCAAGTATGGAGTCATGGGATCTTGTATTCAGAGAAAAAATTAGGAACAGAGGCTTTCTACCCGCTAAACATTGAATTGATACTCAAGCAGGTGTGGGTTCAAGTTCTTTTGTTGTCACTAACCAGCTATAGAACCTTGGGCAAATAATTTACTTCTCTGGTATTATAATAAATATTAAATGAGATAACTGCACAAGCCTTTATGGACTTAATACGGACTATGGGAATCACTTAATACATTTCTCATATTCTATGATACTCATTTTTCTCATTTCAATACTCCTGAAATCAGGATACCTCCTGATTTCACTTTACTGTAAGATACCTTACAGTTGACATTATTTCTTTCTTTCCCTGAAAAATGAGTAAGTTAATAAATCCTACAATTGTGGAAGCGTGTCCTATAGAAAGAAGGTGCTATCCCCTTCTTTCTTTTCACTCCCTCCACCCTCACCCTAGCTACGGTCAATACTCCCAAGCCTTCATTTGGCTCTCAATGGACAGTACAGAGATCAAGAGTTCAGGCTTGGAACAAGTGATCTTTGTTTGATTCCCAACTCCACCACTTAGTAGCTGTTGATCTTGGACAATTTATTTAACCTTTAAGGTCTCAGCTTCCTCACTACCAAAAAGAGGTTTGTAACATGAAACTCAATGTTAGCCTAAGGATTGTAAAATGTTAGCACTGTATGTGGCACAGAAGAAACATGTCATACATGTTTGTTAGCAGTTTTTATTATCAGGGCTGGCTTGTGAGGACGACAGATGACACTGTTTGGCAGTATATTTAGAATACTTGCTTGGTTCCTGGATCATCTCATAAAGATATTTGCCAGAGTACTATCTTCACTGATATTACTCCAGCTGCAGTTATTTGCAATCACTCAGAGCCTCCACTTGCACATAGCCCACCTGCTCTTTCTGACTATTTGTATCACTCCCTTGATATTTGGAATCAGTTCCCTCATGTCCTTTGTCTCTGGCCTCTATTTTTGCTGTCACTGTCCCCTTGCTAGAGGACAATCCCTCTGCTGCGTATGGTCATCCTTTGGGATAATTTGTTTCTGCTCCCAACACTTGGTTTAGAGAGGAAAACTGTATACTTACACTTGACTTCCCCATGCCATGTATGAAGCAAGTTCTTTCCTAATTCCCCACATTATCTTTAAGACAAGATTGTAAACTTTTAAAGGACTTAATTGAACAGCAAGGATGATGGAATGGAACTATTCTGTAAAACCCACATGGTCACTTTCTTTCTAGTGTCTGGCTCCTTTCCACCTATTAGAGATCAGTTCACTTCTCTCATCAGGAGTATTTGGAGAGTCTGGCCTTTGGAGTCCAAGACCAAGCATGGGAGAGCATAGAGACAGAAGGAATATCTTTCTTTCTCCACCCTAAAGATTTATTTTAGGCCATCTTCCTGTCCCAGGAATAACCTAATCCCAGTTGACTGACAATAGAAATACCCATCCCTATAATGCAAAACCTACCTGTATCAAATGGAATGCGATCCTGCCTTATGGCTCCAGTAGGACATTTACATAGACCAATGTGGCTCAATATCAATATGTCCTATATATCACACAGTATCCGCACTCAAGTCAGGCTGTAAAAAGCTAAGACTTTTAAACAGTCTGCCCTCCAATCAGGACATAAAAACCTGTAGCATCTTCCTCCACTGCTACCTGTTTCACCTGTAATTGCCCACTCCACAAAGTATAAAGCTAACTCCACAAAAATTAGGACTGTAAATGTGTAAGAGCCAGCAGATATTCCTGCATACCAGTTATGCTTTATCACACCTTCCTTTCCTTTCCTTCCCACATCCCATCCCCTACACAAAAACAGCAAGGGCATTTTATAGTATTGACCTCAGCACAGCCATATCCAACAATTTCCATTTCCATATCATTTGGAGAGAGATTTTTTCCCCCGGGAAACAGTCACCTCCTTTAATACAGCCGTGTCCCCACACCCTACATCCGATGCAGTGTTACATGTGTGTGTCGCTCAAGCATCATACAGTTGGGGCCAGCAGGCGGGGAGCCCTAGGTGGTCCCCACTGCCCTGAGCCAGGCCCCTGCCCGACTCGAGCTCCCTCCCAAGGCTGGCTTCCCCACCCGGTGGCCTTCGTAGACCAGAAGCCATTCCTTCACCGCCAGTCCTCCGGAGTAGTTGCCCATGGTTCCGCTGCTGCAGACCACTCTGTGGCACGGGATGAGGATGGGGACAGGGTTGCTTCTCATTGCTCCTCCCACTGCTCGCGTGGCTTTGGGGTTGCCTGCCAGGGCTGCTAATTGTTGGTAAGAAACCACTTCTCCGAATTTCACAGCCTTCAGCAGCTCCCATAACACCTGCCTGGTACACGACTCTTGCTGGAAAACGGGGTGGTGAAGAGTCGGCACGGGGAGCTCCTCGATGGCCTCGGGCTGCTGGAAATAGGCGTTGAGCCAGGCTGCGCACTGCTTCAGGGGCTCGGGACCTCTGAGAACCCCAGCTGGGGCTGGGACCTCCATGGCATCAGCTGCGGGCGTCCCCCGGCCCAGGAAGCTGATTTCGTGCAGACCTTGCTCACAACAGGACAGCTCCAGCTTCCGCAAAGGGCTGTCCAGCGTGGTGCGTTTCATTTCACAGGTCTTGTCCATTTCTCCAAGAACCATGTCGCAAACGGTGCGGACCGCGAGTACCTGCAAGCGCTGGGACGCAAAATGTTCCAGAAGCACGGGCCGCCCCAGCATATCCTTTTTTTTTTTTTTTTTTTTTTGGTCCCTGAGAATATTTATTCAAAAAACAGGGATTGAAAAACCTGTACAGAGTGTCTGCTGCTGAGAACTGGGCCCCTGCCCCATGCCACTCCCCCAGCTACCTGGCAGTGCCCCCTCTTTGGGGTGCTCCCTGAGAAGCCCAGCCAGTTCATTCCAGTCAAAAGGGTATCAGTGGAAGCAGCAAGAAATCTGCAGGTGGTGGGGAGAGAAGCCTGGCCCCAGCTATCCCCCGGCCCTCCTCCCTGACTCCCACAAGGGTGCAGTAGGCCAGGAAGCCCTAAGGGATGGGGAGTGCATGAGTGACACCAACCATGGTGGGGGCACTAGGAAGTCCCCTGGCTGATCCCTGTATTCAAGCACAGACCTAAGGGGGTAGGACCCCCTGGCCTGGGGCTGCCACAGCTCAGACCCCTGGGCCAGAAACTGCCCCCACTCTGAGAGAAGGAACTCCCATAGATGGAGGCAGGGTAGGGGGTGCATCCATGTGTCTGGGCGTTAGCGGCACTTGGGACCCCAGGGTGGAGTCTCCTTGGGCGAGTATGGTGCGGAGGCAGCTCCCTGCTGGTTGTCCTGCCTGCCCCTGCCTGTACCTCAGCTGGCCTCAGTAGGGGGTGAATTTCTGCCGCTCAGCCTTCTTACTCCCATTAGCCGCTGCCATCTTGGCAGTGTAGGCCGCCAAGCCTGGCAGCGGCCCTGAGGAAGCAGGTGGTAAAGCCAAGAAGGGCACGGGCTTGAGGCCAATGAAGTTGGAGAGGGAGATGGCATAGGGTGTGCCCAGCAGGCCGCGGGGAGCTGTGGGCAGGGCCGTCAGGGGCGGCGAGAAGGGGGCAGGCAGGTCTGTAGGGGCCAAGCCGGGTGTTCCCCCAGAGGTAGACTTGGCCGTCTCTAGACAGGCAGTGATGAGGTACTGGGCCAGGGCGATGGAGACCGGTGACCCAGTGATGGTCACATGCTGCTCCCCAGCGCCCTCTGCTTGGTTCCCGATCTTGATATGTGCCCTGACATCTGCCAGATCTCGCTGATCTTGCTGCCCTGGCGCCCCATCACACAGCAAATCAGATCATTGGGAACCAAGAACTCCTGTGAGCTGGTCTATGTGCCGGGATCCAGTGCTGGCACCACGCTGGGTGTGGCAAAAGGGACCGCATGGCTTGAGAGCTGCTGGAGCTTGGTGACCTCAGCTGTGGTCACAGCCCCATACTGACCCTGGACAGAGAAGCCCTGGTTGGTGGAGAGAAGGACAGTACCCTAGGGAGAGGCTTGGGTGGTAGGGGATAGTGGCTCCTTTGGGTGGGGACTCCAGGATAACAGCGCAGATCTGGCGCACACACAAGATGATGGCATCAGGCACCTCCGACAGTGTAACAGCTTGCTCTGTGGAGTTGGGGAACAGGTCCCCTGCCACCTGTACCTGGGCACCCGTAGTCTCTTGGGTGATTTTCTCTTGCAAACATGTAGCTTTTCGGCCCAAGACCTCATATATCCTGTAAGGAATGGTACCTGCTTGGCTTTTACTTGTGCTTCATTTGCAAACATGCCTCTACTGTGTTGGCATTCCCCATGCTACAATACAGAGATAAAAGGCTGACTTGAGACCTGTGGCCGTTTTCACAATTAAGATATACAAAGACACTTCAGGGTTGTTGACAGTCCACAAAACTACATACTACTGCTGTGTTTTTATTTCTCTTTTCTTCTGTTTTTTTGGCTGCCAAGCAATTATTCTGCTTCCTCAGATCTAAAATTATGCCTTTTGCCCTCTTGGTTTACACTGTCTTCGGTTTGAGGAACTATGATTAATTGTGCACTCTAATGTATACGGGTTAAATGAATATGGTTTTTCCTGTTAGTCAAGAGAATACCTTCACCATTTTCAAGGTTTATACTTGTCATTTTATTCAAAACATAGTTTGTTCCACAGCTAGGCATCATGGCACTGAAACAGGGATAAGGAATCTGGAGATGGAGTTTTAGGAAGCATTAGACAAGACCAGCGTCAGCTTGATGAGTCATTTAAATGTCGCTTCACTTTCCTCCTCCATAGAATGGGCTGGATATTCTGTAGTGCAAATACTTTCTGACTGATGCCTACAGTTGTGTTACCCCTTGAAGTGAAGCTTACTCTTCCCTCAAGTCTTTAACACTCACTGCTTTCTCTGAGATTTACTCCTGACAACTTGAAAGTTGTGCAGCAAAAGTGGTGGCTCTGGAAAGCAGTGGGCTTCCAGGGCTAAGCGGAAAAGACAGGTGAGCCTCGCTTGCTGGTTTAGAGACTAGTCACCATGTGAGGAGAAATTGGTGAGTTCAGGACTCTATAAACTGCTATTTCAAAGGTCAATTGATTTTTTTCTTTTTGCAATTACCATAGTATAAAATGGCAGAAACCTGAAGGCTATTTTGCCCTGTTAATTCTGAAGAAGTCAACTGATATTTGTGTTGCTGGTTTCCCCTGATCTGCCCTGTGCTGCCAAGGGCTGTTAGGCTATCTACAGGAAATACAACCAAGTTAGGGACCCAAAGGTTCTCTTGTCCCAACTTCGTGAATTCCTATTTCCCTTTGTGTCCTATCTAAAGCAGTAGTTCTCAATCCCCAAAAAAAACATCCAACCACCACCCTCCAGAAATTCTGATTCAATGGCTGTAGAGTAAATCCCAAGCATTAGCATTGTTTTAAAAGCTCTGCAGGTGACTCCAGTTGCAGACATGGCTGAGAACCACTGCTTTGAAGCCTCTCCATTCTCGCCTTTTCTATCCCGTAATGCCATGTACTACCCGTATGCAGTCCCTAGTGAAAATAAAATTGTACCCCTCATATCATTAGGGACTAGAATATAGAATATATACAGTAAAAGTTTACAAAAGGAGGAAGAAATGAGGGAACAAAGGACACAACAGAATATATAGTCTGAAGAAGAAAGAGGGTGATGAGAAGGGGATGGGCAGGAAGGAATGATAAATGACAATTTGTCTCTTGCAAACATTAGGCTTACAACTCTTTCCACTTACATTTTTTCCATGACAAAAAACTTTAGAGTTATCTTACCACTACTTTAAAAAAAAATACTGCTTTCATTCTGGAATTTCTGATTAACAGGGTCCAATCTAACTTTTTTAGATGTTTCCATGGGAAATAATATTTTTCTTCCTTTGAAAATCTAAAAGGGAAGACAAAAACCAAATGAAAGAATGAAGGAAGGCACAACCGAATGGCTTTTTGATTATTCTAGGACCTAATATGTCCGTGCTTTGACTGCAACATGAAGCCTTTGAAAAGACACATTCAACTGTGTTGGAAAGAATAGCTCAGCCGTAGAATTAGGGGTATATTTCCCTAAATTGTATGTTCTAAATTGATAATTCTCCTCTGAGAATAATTTTTATTATATCAAATGGACCCAGAGTAAAATCTTATTCATTTATGACATGTGATTGGCTAGACATGTTCTCATTACATTGGACTGCATTTAGGATATGTGGGAAGGGCAGGTCTAAGTGATAAAGGGTGCTTTTCATTGTGAAAGAACATATTTTACAGGGCCAGAGTTGCTGGTGACTATGAAAATTTTCTCTCAGAAGGCTTTCATTGAAGGAGAAAATAATCTTGAAGATCAATGAAATGTTGAATATTTACAATAAGCAGCTCTCTCTGTCTCCTACTGTATATGATGGGGACAGGATCAAAGGGAGTCCTGGGCCCAGGAACCACCTGCACTAGGTGGCTGGGGGTGGCCACTTGCTCAGGCTGCTCCAGTGAGGATGGAGGAGCAGGTTGCATGGATGGCAGTGCAGAGTAATGGCTAAGAGCACAGAGTCTGGGGTCAAACAATCTTATGTTAGAATCTTTTCTCTACCTCTTAGTAGTTGAGCTTCTATTGAAAGATGGGGCAATGAAGTGAGAGAGAGAGATTTAGAGAATGAGACAGAGAGAGATAGATATTAGAGACCCTGAACTGAGTAGAGCTTGGGCCTCTGCTTCCTTCTTAATGGCAGTAGGTCCAATATCATTTTAGGAAATGCTCTTCACATCAGAAGTAAACACCTGTGATTATTGTTAAACTTCTGGCCATTACAGAGAACTATGTGGAAAGTAAGTTATAGTTTATAAGACACCGACCATTCTGTAATCAAAATGTATACTTTACTGAGAAAAAACACTCAGCAAATCATATATAGCAATGGCAGATGCTGCCCACAGCAGCAAGTTTCTGTAAATTATCTGACCATGTAAGAGTCATGTAGCAGCATAATCAGGAGAATATTGTTTCATAAAATCACAAGTCCTGACTGCTTCACTGTACTAGATTCCATCTTATTTATAAAATATCTTCCCCAAGAATGTGTGTGAGGCACTAAAAATCTCTGGATTACAAAGACATGAATTCTAATCCCAACTCTGCCATAGCAGAATTAATGATGAAAAACTACTCTTTATGTTCTTCAACTCAGGGTTGGAGTTTCAGAAAGTAGATGCGGAATTGGTTAAGTAGATGGGGAATGGGTTGAATAAGGCCTCTTCAAGCCTCAAGAGTTTTCCTGATCTGTCATAGAATTTTCACTCTCAGAAAGATAATTATAAGAGTGTTTGTTTTTCAAAGCAAATATCACAATTACTTAGAAGAATTTGCAAGGTTCATGGATGAACAATTACATTAACAGAATGGCAGGTGATTGTTAACCTTGTCTAGACTTAATTATGAAGTCAGTAAGAGTTCATAATTGTTGGAGAATTTGTGAAGCTGAAAATCCTAAGTTTAAGCTTTATACACTGTTTCATAACAGATGGCAAGTTAAGGTTATATCATAATCAGAAACCACTCACCTTTGAAGGAACTAATATAGTAGAGAATTATTGCCAACATAACCCAGAAACATGATAGCTCATTCTTAAAGGGTTTTCCCCCCAACTATTTCTCATTAGCATTTTTAAAATGAGCATACATTTAAATGCAAAGATGTCTTCTTCTATTAAATATTCAACGGCCATTTGCCAGTAATCAAATCTTCATGCTCAAATAATTTTTATTAAGTACCAATATGTGTACTGTGGTGTGTTAGATACTATATAAAGAAAAAAACCTGGCATTGAACGCAGATGTTCATATAAACAGACAAGTGAGTACAATAAAATTCTTCAACAAAGAGAAATGCAGCAATGTCAGGCAAGAACCCAAGCTAATAAATGAATAAAATGTATAGTAAAAACACTTAGCAAGTTCCCACTTGTAAAGCTTTTTTGTATGACACATACATGTTTTAAGGTTATATATATGGGCACATTTTACCACTTCGCTTTTAGAATGCTCTCCCTGTTAAGAAATTTTATCAGCTGCTTTCTTCTAAAAGACCTTGAGAGGGCTTTACCAGTATTTCATTATACATTAGCTTTAGTGCTCAGATTTTTATGGTGTTGGACGTGTGTAACTCTTTGGGAATAATGATCATATAAACTCTCTTTGAAAGAGAACTACTGACTGAGTTTTGTACACTGCATGTTTCATAATTATTTGGAACTCCTTTAATTAATTTAACCAAAAATCACATGTATGTATTCATGCATTAATTTATTCATGTATTCTCATATTCAGTAAAAATCCCTCTCCTAATTGCTAAAGGTCCATGGTAGAAAACACCTGCTCTTTGCTTTCAAGAAGCTCACAGTCTGGGGTAATGGGTGGGGTAGAAGACATATTTCTGAAGAGGTAATATTATTAAGCCATGTCATACTGGTGGACAGGACGTCATTAGACCAAAGAAGAAAGGTTACCTAAATAACATGGACAGTCCTACAAAACAACCAAAATGAGCTGTGTATTAATCAACAAAATATGTTTCCTCCATAGCAGAACCAAAATAGGATCAACTAAATGGAACAAAACCTAGAAGATTTCTTATGAACAGTTAATATTTTTAAAACCTGGTGTCTTTCCACTGCACTGCCCCAAGTTTTACTTAGCAGACAGCAGACACCTTGTCCACCCAATATAGGGCCAACACTGTGCTGCATGTTGAAGGAGCATCCAAATTTGGCTACTGTTAGAATAATGTTGGCACTACCTGTTAAAAATACACATCTGAAAACTTCATTGCTGGAAATTCTGATGAAGCAGACCTACTGGGCCTACTGGGTGATACTTGGGAATCTATTTTTTAAAACACGAGTTCCAGGTAATTTTGATTATTAGCTAGAGTTGGGAAACAGCCTTAAATAAATTCATAATTTATAACAACACACATAAGATGAAGCGTAGGGAGATGTATCATTCCTGTTCTAACACAGTCTTCTTATAAAACTTTAGTTTAACCCAAAAAGCTGAAGGCTTTAAAATATGGGAAAATAACCTTTAAACACTATGGGAGTGAGTAGAAGACATATTTGATTTTAGACTACTCAAGTGGTTTCCTATTTAAAATTTGCTTTCTCTTAACTTAGGTTTCTTTCTTTGAATAATTCTGTGAGCCTTTGAACTATTTTACATGGCTGATT